ATTGGAAGATGTTTTTACTTGATGAAAGCCGTCTTGTAGCTTATTGTCTTACGGTGGTTTCCAACCCATCAAGTTTCAGTCTGTTCTCATACGTACGAAAACATGTGTAAGCTCCATCGACCGTGGAATTTTCCACCTTGGACGTTGTTATTGTGTGTCACATAAGTAGACAGTAAGCCTCACATGAGAACGGGAAATAGAACGTGAAGTACAATATACTGCCTAGATGTGGATACGCATCGAATCTTGTCCTTTCCAGAATCTCTGTTAGATTCTTCCTTCTTTCCGTTCCATCTCCTATAGGGTTTGTGAACCTAAACTTAGAGGATGAGTGACCTATGTTCATCGTTATTTTAACAGATTCTGTTGGATATTAAAAGAGGTGGAACTCATAGTTGCGTCTTTTAAATATCTATAGGAACTAAATGAAAATGAATATCGCCAGAAGCGTGTATTTCACTCACTCTTGCCGATCGCTAACATGTAGCATTAGATATAGTGAAATAAACATTAGAAAAACGAATGAAGAAATTGTTTGACTGGTGCCAAGGAAGACAGGTATTTTCTACTGATTGTCCCCGTGTAACGAAAATGGCCCTTATTGGGGCTTCGCTAAAGGCCAGTAGCATCGCATTTCGATTGAATAACTACCCGAGTTAGGTCGACTAAGAAACCTGTCGCAAAGGCAGACCTCGCGATAACCCATGCCGGACTTATTGTCAAGTTTTACCATGTGCAGTCTAAGCGGGCTAGCGAGTGCAACAGTCACGTCCGGATGTATCCATTCTCTCATTGAGCCCATTTCCGGCACTCATTTGGAAACCCCTCTCCCTGAACTGAACTACGCACGTGTGATTACACAACCGGAATGCAAAGCATCTGGCGTTTGCCGAAACCATACTGATTAAGTCACCCCTCGTTGTGTGAAGATGAAAAAAGTAAAAATTACCTTCCCTGGCACTGGTCAAACACGTCCAAATTTTGTCCATGTTCATTTCGTGCAATGCAACGTACACTAAATCACATCTTTCAAGTTAGTGATCGATCACAGTGAAAAAAGGCGCCCATCTCTTAGCACATGTTTTCGTTCCGCTTTTGTGAATAAATTGAATGGGTCTAGACGTTTAAAATCTTTAAAGACCATTTGAGGGCTCCATGGGATAAAGATAATATTGTGCCGTTCAATTTGATGGGCCTGTAGTTTTGGGTTTTGGAATAAATGCGTTTATGAATTACCATGTCTAGTGCACAGGACTTAGACTAGGTGAAACCCCTCAGGTCACTGGTAGACATTTGCACATAGTTCGCTCTTTCTCAGAGGGTCATTCTCTAATCATGATTGCTCTGGTCCATCCTTTCCGTCCAACAAGTTTAACAAAAAGTGAATAATGTTAGGATGCGAAATCTGTGATAAGCTTCAAAAACAGGATAAATAACTGCGAATCGTTCATTCCCATCTGTGCGCTCCGTAGTGTGAGTTCAATTCTGTCCGGGGTAGTGTTAGTGGGACTGTTCAAGGTGCCACCGGTTTCGATGCCAAAGCGGCCATCAACTTCTCATTGTACGCTCTGACCAGTTCCATAGCACGTTTGGCCAACACACTGTGATCGGTCTCGACTCGTTTGTTCGCGATGAACTCG